AAAACATATTTTTAGAGTGAGAACGTACCTCGGCCACTCGGAGATTTTAGGCCTGAAATCTCCTTACACTAAGAGATATCAAAATTTGATATGCGTTAGAAAAAGCAAGAAAAGCATTTTCTGATGATACTTACAATACCGCATTAGAGATGAAATTCTCTTAAAACAGCTGCTTCAAACATAAGGTAAAAAAATTGGACAGAACATATACAGCAACCTAATACAATGATAACAAAGTGCGTCTACCGACACATGAAGTTCCAACATTCCAAGGGAATTACAATGATACCCAGCATTTTGGACAATTTAAAATTCGCTGATTCAGAGCAACTCACAGCTCAGCGACATTGACAAATTTCTCTTCCTGAGGCAAGCACTGAAGGGATCAGCTGCATCAACGCTAGGAAACATAACATACCAGTAGTTGGAGGAAACTACGAACAAGTCATAAAGCTCCTAGACAAACAATTCAACAAATCGGGATGCATAGCGGATTTGCTCAATGAGCTGGAGAAATTACCCCGAGCAAGAGAAGACGCTACCAGTCGCCGAAGGACACTTACGGACGTGAGCGAGAAACTCATTCACATTGAAGGCAGCGTCCAGGCAAAAACTCAATTCCTAGTAAATCCACTTACTGGGGTCATCTGCAACGCTGAATCCAAAAATTCACATAAGAAGGCGCGAAAAGGGCGAGATGCGTTTTCCAAAGCCCTACAATTTGAAATTTGACGGACCCCGCCAGGCAGAGACGCAGAGTCCCTGCGGGACCCTACAATCTTGACTGTGGTGGCATGCGCACCCTGCCGCTAGCAAGCATTCGAACAGGTCATACGACCCTGACCCAACCCCACAAGCTTCCCCGCTTTCTGGTTGTTTTCCTTGCTTTAGGTCGCACTTGCGCGATGTTGTGTCCAAGGAGGGCCACTTTGCATGGCACTGAAATCCCAAACCCCCAACTTGCTCGGACACTGCCTTTAAGTGCGCTGGAGTTTCACTGGCCGAATGTGGAGAAGATTGATCCTGTCAAAATTCCCAGATTCTGTGAACAGAGAGGCGCTCAGCAGAGAGCAAAAGGATGGAAGGTCTTCCTTAACAGATGAGATCCTGCAAATTTGGAGAACGCAGTTCCCCTTAACGAAACAGTAGAACTCATTACAGCTACATTCAATGGCTGCACGAGCTGCACGACTGCTGGACACTCCAGTCCCGATCATGATGGGGAAAGGGAATCCCAGTAGGCTGAAGAGATGACGTCACGCACAAGGAGAAGATCACCTCATGAGAATTTACGCATCTGTTCATGCGGAGGCTCGTCGCATACTACCTTGCACTGTACAACATTCAAAACCTCAGCGGAACGACGAACTGATGAAAAACGGGGACTTTGCTTCAGATGCCTAGCACGGGGTCATATTCGAAATGCACGGTGACCACCACACCGCTTTGTGTACAGATGAACCCTCAGCCAGGAGACACGCTTCTCGCCAAGAAGACTTGAGTAAAGACAACTTCGAGAAAATATTCAAGTTCGGAGATGGTGCAGCATTCTCAAAGCCTTCAGAATGAGAAGAAGGTCAGACCTAAAGGAAAACAGCACGTTCTTATGACAGCAACTGCTCTCGCCTCCAATAGGAAAACGAAGAACTATAACTTGTGGACATCTTCTTCGACGGAGGAGCGCAGAAAAGCTTTATCAGCACCAACATTGCTGACGTCCCCCGCCTTCCTATTACAGGAAGCACCACTTTTAAGATAAGCGGTTTTGGTGGCACTACAGAAGCTTTCACGTCTAGTCAAGTTTCGCTAACGATGAAAAGTATCGCTGGAAGAGAAAGGTCCACACGGATCAAGATGCACTCAAAGTCGTCAGTCACTTCTTCTATAAGGACTGCTTGGCTAAGTTCAGCGGAGAGAAGATCAATTCGAAAACGCAAAGTTCGGATAGCTCAGCCTAACCTGAAGATTTGAATCTTCACACCAGATATTTCGGGCGAGATCTCATCGATCAATTCATCTTACGAGAAGGACCATATATTGTACTTCCATCCGGGTTGATTCTTACTCCCACCATATTTGGATACGCAGTTTCTGGCAGTGGACGAATGAAAGGATCGGCCTTGACCACCTACGCAAAACACTACAGTGCTTGGCGTTAGCCACGCACTCCGAAAATATTTTTGGGGTGCTTCTCAAAATTTTTGCGGGTCCCCGATTCCTAAAGCCTGAAAAAAGGGGGCGTGGCTGACGCCACGCCCCCCAAAAAATTTTTTTTATAAGGCTAAAATGAATTTTTAAAAAATTTTAAAAATTATTTCAATTATTTTCAAGTGCAAACAAGTCGTTTGCACATTTTTACAACCCATATAGGTAAGTTTCAAAACCTACTTTCATACAGGCAATCTTCATGTTCCAATGATAATATTGTTCGCCAGAAGTTGGTATGCAGGCTATACATGCCCAACTTAGCTGTATAAAAGAGTCTGTATGCCAAGTTCGCAGTCGTCTCTGTCGCCGTATTTATTCTGTTCGTCACCATCTGCGAATAAATTGTTGTGCCACCCAATCGGTATCTACCGAAACGTTACAAGTAATCAACTATCACTCTTGAAAGTAGGTGAAGCTGACCATTAGCAATGTCTATGGTACATCCAAGTACATTGCTTTTACATCCTGAACTTACCATATCAATGCGCGCTGTGCCTTCCAATTGTTGCAATCATCGCATTAAATGCAGTGTCCAGGCTAAGTCTAACCCTCTTCGATTAATGTCAGTCCTGAATGTAGGCCCCAGGAAAGAGGCATCTGCGTTGGCCCTATCTTCAGATGTTTTTCTGGATGGAGATAAGGGGCATGGAACAGCCAAAGTGCTATCAGGTCCCGCCCAGATCCTATCAGACTCCGCCCAGACAGGGACTGCCTCCGACGGGTGTAGGCCTTTCTGAACCCGCTCTAGTTGCAATGGCTACGATAGGTCAGGTCTCAGAGGTCAGGTAAATTGGATGCTTCGATAAGGCGAGCGGTTGATTTAACCAGGTGCGCTGCGGAAACGGACGAGTTCCTCAGTGATGGCCTCCCTCCCTCATACCCTTTACAGAGAGCCGTAGACGCATGATGTCAACCGAATGCTGCTATTCTGCTGTCTTACCTGATACTCGCTGCTGCCACTAAATTGACGTGCTTCCAATCACGGAAAAACTGTGGGATGTGTTTGCTTCGATTACTGAAGTACTCTATTTTTGTTTGAGTAAGGTGAGTACTGGCAACTCTTTTTACTCCATGTGTGCAATCCTTGTGCATCGTGTATCGTCACATTTATTTGTGTATGTGAACTAAACGAATTGCGAGGAAAACACACTTTTTGGTTTGATTAGATAACCAGAGACCCGAGATTTCTTAGTGATTTCTTTGTTAGTGCAATTTGTCGCCAACATTTTGATTCTGCGCCGATTACAGCGGCTGCATGATTATATTCATGTATCTCATACAAATACTCATCAGTTTTGAACCTAGTTCTAAGCGTAAAGGAAAATAACGGATATCATGGCGTTCTGCAGAAGACTCGTTCGCAATGGTCGCAGCGCAGGCGCCCGCGTCCTACTAGCGGGGTTACTGTAGTAAATGGTGGGTTCAGAAGGGCCGTCTTCCTCCGACACGTCATCGCGCAAGTGCGACGTTGTAACCTTTGACCTAAAGCAGGAAAAATGGTCGGGAAGTGGGGAAACTTACGCCTTGGGAAGGGGTCCTCCGACCTGTTCGAGTTCTTGCTTTGGCAGAGTACGCATGCCGCCGCGTTAAAATCGTAGGCTTTCGCAGCGACTCTGCGTCTCTGCCTTGGCGGGGACCGTCGAATTTCATGCAAGGCTCTGGAAAACGCATGTTTTCGCCGTTTTTGCGCCTTTTAATGTGGATTTTTGGAAACAGCGTCGCGGATAACCCCCGTAAGTGGATTTTCTGAAAATCGAGTTTTTGCCTGGACACTGCCTTTAAGTAGCTACAGTGGCATATCTTATAAGGAATGCTACCTAGCTTAGCTCGGCCTTTTAGCAAGAGACCTATATATCCCGAATCAACTTCAGACGCTGATTCCAGATACTATTCCCAGCTGCCGAGCACCATTCTGAAGCGGGTTATGGGCTTTTTCCTGCGCAAAATTGGCATACTACTGAAAATGGGAAGACTGCCTGTAGGTGAAAGTCTGCAAGAAAAAGGTGCTGAGATATCGAAATAACAAAAATCCAATCTTTTTACCGAAAAAAAGCTTAAGCAAGAATACGCTCGAGTGATGATGCCGTGATGCAATGAGTCGATGAGTATGTTAAATTCGCGCAGGAAAAAGCCCATAACCCGCTTCGGAATGGTGCTCGTCAGCCTGGACACTGCCTTTAAGTAGCTACAGTGGCATATCTTATAAGGAATGCTACCTAGCTTAGCTCGGCCTTTTAGCAAGAGACCTATATATCCCGAATCAACTTCAGACGCTGATTCCAGATACTACTCCCAGCTGCCGAGCACCATTCTGAAGCGGGTTATGGGCTTTTTCCTGCGCAAAATTGGCATACTACTGAAAATGGGAAGACTGCCTGTAGGTGAAAGTCTGCAAGAAAAAGGTGCTGAGATATCGAAATAACAAAAATCCAATCTTTTTACCGAAAAAAAGCTTAAGCAAGAATACGCTCAAGTGATGATGCCGTGATGCAATGAGTCGATGAGTATGTTAAATTCGCGCAGGAAAAAGCCCATAACCCGCTTCGGAATGGTGCTCGTCAGCTGGAATTAGCATATTTGGAATCAGCGTCTGAGGCTGATTCGGAATATCTATGTCCCTCGCCAAAATGCCGAGCTAAGTTAGGTAGCTTCCCGTGTTAGTGCATTCCGAACAAGGTGACTTCACCGAATTCTACATTATCCCTACAATTGAATTCTGTTTGCAACGGATCTTCCTCTCTCGTCGGTTTCTTATGGTAGCGGTTGTACTTTACGGCAAAGAGGTAACTCACGGTTGATTGGTTATACAGTACGTTTTGATGAATTTGCCACATTCTTCTTTCGCGCATCCTATTTCGGTCGTATTCGCTCTCATCAGCTAAAGGCAGAATCCTGTCATATTACGGTACAAAAGCTTTATGACTCACATCTGCGTATCCAGCCAATCTTTCATCTCCCCCGCTAAATCTGATCCCATCGCTACTGACATCCAGTTGATATTCTTCCTTACTGAGCGCTGGCAAGTAAAATGATTCTAGCATTTCGGCCATTCTCGAGCCGGTTCCATAATCCAAGTCCCAACTAGAAAGATTAGAAGTCGATCATATGTCCGAATTTGTAACACATCAAGCTATTGACCCGAAGTTGGCCCGAAGCTTATGGTTTGAGCAAGCACTCAGACAATCGAAGGAGGCAGGCGGTCCGCAAACCCGCGCCTTTCTGCAAGCGGTCAGCAAAAGGTTTGGGGCGTGGCCAAACCTTCAGCGAGCGGTACTTCCGTGTTCTGTCAGCGGGCAGCAATACAGAATCTTCTGCGAGCGCTCGTCAAAAGATTTCTTCCAGCGAGCGTTGGTCAAACTTTCGGCAGGCTCTCGGATCTTTTTACGCAATTTCGGGCGTACGCCGTGCGAAGGTGAGACTCTGAGTGGCAAAGGTGCCATCGATAGTTTGATTACCCAATTCTGAGGTACCTTCCCCTAGCGGAAGGCACCTACGCTCAGATAATCGCCGGAGGCGGGCGGTCCGCAAACTCGCGCTTTTCTGCAGGCGGTCAGCAGAATTTTGGGGCGTGGCCAAACTTTCAGCGGGCGGCACTTTCTTTACGGTCGCATATTCTGCCAGCGGGCAGCAATACAGCATTTTTTGCAAGCGCTCGGCAAATAAATTCTTTCAGCGAGCGCTGGCCAAACTTTTCAGCAAGCGCTCGGACTCTTTTTACGCATTTTCGGGCGTACGTCGAGCACAGGTAAGACTCTGTGTGGCAGAGGTGTCACCGTTGGTTTAATTACTCAAGTTTGAGGTACTTTCTCCCAGCGGAAAGTACCTGGGGGCTGCGCGGTCCTCCACAAAGGATCGTGCGGCCCTCGAAAATTCTGCATATTCTCGCAGAAAGTCCGCAAGAATGCGGCCACTGCGCCGCAGCTAATCTAAAAGGAAACCGCGATTCTTCTCCAAGCATTCGTCTAAAATTTCGCTAAAATTATTGCAAATTTCTGCAAGCGGACCGCAAGAAATTAGCAAACTATTTCTCCGGTGCGCGCTTGCTCAAAATTCGCCTGGCCGCCTGCCCCCGGCGATTATCTGAGCGGGCTGGGTGGTCCTTCATAAAGGGCTGTGCGGCCCTGTTTTAGCATATTCTCGCTGAAAATCCACGAGAATGCGGTCACTGCGCCGCAACTAATCTATGATTGATCCCTACACGTTGGCTCAAAAAATGGGGCGGTGCAAAAGGAACGATAGCAATTGCCAGCCGCTGCTGCTACTGCAAAGCATTATTTTTCTCACAAAACGCAAATTTTAGTATCAATTGGTTGGCTTTCCCGGTCCAGCCCGGGCCATTGCTCACCTGCACTGCAAGCCCCACCCCCTCTTATACAATACCGCTCTCAGAACGTGCAAAATTTCCGTGAATGTCGCGAAATTCCGGAAATGTCGCGAAATTCCGAAAATTTCGCGGTCCTTCGCGGAATTCCGGGATTTCCGCGACATTCACGGAAATTTTGCACGTTCTGAGAGCGGTATTGTATGTTAAGAATGACTTACCCTGGGAAATCCGCCTCGAAACCGCGTCCTCGTGATCGTGAAGTGAAAATGAGCTTTACCGCCCTCCAGTACATGAATATGGGAAAATGCTTGATGAAACATTATAAGCCTTCAATTCCTTGGAATAACGTAAACAAATCAATAAATCGATGGAAGGACCCAACGAATCGCCGCAAAAAGTAGCCTATCATCTGCGCAGGGGTCGAAAACATATGTGTGCAGAGTTTCAGCCGAATCGGTTGAGCGGCGCGCGTTTCTATAACGCACATACCCTCCAAACTGACAATTTTTGAGTTTTATATATACCAGTGCGTCATCTCTGCTTCGCAGAGGCACGCACTGGTCCTATTCTATAGTTTTTGAGCAACATCTTCTGCTAAGGAAGGCAAAGTGTGGCACGCCCACAGCAGGTACTGGCTCTATGCACCCCATGAATATCGTGCCTGCGGGTCTGCGTTTCATGCCTGTCCTCAGAGCTAAACAGCGCCCTGACTAATCTCTCAAACTGCTTTGAACCTTCCCGGAAAATTCTAATCGTGAAAAATATGATGTAAAAACCATTCATTCTGCGAGGTTTTCATGTGAAACCGGTAAAATTAGCGTGGCGATACTTTTTGGTGAACGGTTAGTGTAATTTTGATTCCGTTTTATCAATGCGATGTTGGCTAATTAGAACAACAACAGATGCACACTACATTTCCAGCCTAAAATATTTCCAGCTATACAATGAGTTCTTTGAAAATCAACGATCAATTGAGTCATCTTTTCTTGAAGCCACTTTTGAACGAAATTAACTTTTTGCTATGTATCTGCGCTGAATTCCAGGGCTTGGAAGATGTCCAAGTCAAATGTCTTACAGTTACTGCAGACTCCTTGCATTAGGATCTCGTTTGCCTTAGCAAATGCTTGGTGGATCCGTTTGACTCGCGATTTTCAGCGACCGAAACGATTCGCTCACTTCTTTACATAATTAACCTGGATGCCGTTGGCGTGCTATAGCCAAAAAATCAGCTCGAAATTTTGGCTGCAGCTTGCGCTACGAATTACACTGAATCGCAGAGGCTCGTTGTGGTCCTCCTCTGTACGCCTTACTCATTCATGTCTTATGATAGCATTGAAACTCACCGGACGATGCCGAATATGACGAATAAAATGTAAGCAACTACTCGTTGCTATAAGGACAATAACACCATGAGCTACATCTCTGTGCAAAAATCTTCTCAAATGCTTAAGTAAAACCTTGGCAAATCGACCATCGAGCAATCAATATTTTTCGGCCTCGTTTTTGTGAAGTAGACTTTTGATCCCTTTTTTGAAATAAAGCCCAGGGCTTGCACATTGAGAAGCCAAGCACATCCACGACTTTGCAAAAAGTGGTGATACGGATCCGATTATGCGGGCCAAAAGCCAATTGGACCCGGCTGACGCGCAATTTCTGAAAGATCCACCCAACAAATCCGCTCGTGCTTTCGCGTGGTGGACTTTTATGCTGGTAGCATGCGCTATGCAAAATTTGGGCTTAGGACGTTGGCTGGAACTCGCGCTATGAATTTCGTGACAGACAGATATTCAGACACACACACAACACACCCAACACACACACAACACACAAAACACACACAACACACACAACACACACACGCACACACACACGCGCACACACACACGCACGCAAACAACCCTTAGTCGTGTTGTGTGTGTTGTGTGTGTTGTGTGTGTTGTGTGTTGTGTTGTGTGTGTTGTGTGTTGTGTGTGTTGTGTTGTGTGTGTTGTGTGTGTAGTGTGTGTGTTGTGTGTGTGTTGTGTGTGTTGTGTGTTGTGTGTTGTGTTGTGTGTGTTGTGTGTTGTGTGTGTTGTGTGTGTTGTGTGTGTTGTGTGTGTTGTGTGTTGTGTGTTGTGCGTGTTGTGTGTGTTGTGTGTGTTGTGTGTGTTGTGTGTGTGTTGTGTGTGTTGTGTGTTGTGTGTGTTGTGCGTGTTGTGTGTGTTGTGTGTGTTGTGTGTGTTGTGTGTGTTGTGTGTGTTGTGTGTGTTGTGTGTGTTGTGTGTATTGTGTGTGTGTTGTGTGTGTTGTGTGTGTGTTGTGTGTGTTGTGTTGTGTGTGTTGTGTTGTGTGTGTTGTGTGTGTTGTGTGTTGTGTGTGTTGTGCGTGTTGTGTGTGTTGTGTGTGTTGTGTGTGTGTTGTGTGTGTTGTGTGTGTTGTGTGTATTGTGTGTGTGTTGTGTGTGTTGTGTGTGTTGTGCGTGTTGTGTGTGTTGTGTGTGTGTTGTGTGTGTTGTGCGTGTAGTGTGTGTGTTGTGTGTGTTGTGTTGTGTGTTGTGTGTGTGTTGTGTGTGTTGTGTGTTGTGTGTGTTGTGTGTGTTGTGTGTGTTGTGCGTGTTGTGTGTGTGTTGTGTGTGTTGTGTGTGTGTTGTGTGTGTTGTGTGTGTTGTGTGTGTTGTGTGTGTTGTGTGTGTTGTGTGTGTGTTGTGTGTGTTGTGTGTGTGTTGTGCGTGTTGTGTGTGTGTTGTGTGTGTTGTGTGTGTAGTGTGTGTGTTGTGTGTGTGTTGTGTGTGTTGTGTGTGTGTTGTGCGTGTTGTGTGTGTGTTGTGTGTGTTGTGTGTGTGTTGTGTGTGTGCTGTGTGTGTGTTGTATGTGTTGTGTGTTGTGTGTGTGTTGTGTGTGTTGTGTGTGTTGTGTGTGTTGTGTGTGTGTTGTGTGTGTTGTGTGTGTGTTGTGTGTGTTGTGTGTGTTGTGTGTGTTGTGTGTGTGTTGTGTGTGTTGTGTAGTTGAGGGAAGCAAGTAGACGTTGACGAGGCATCAGTTTGATGACGATGATTTTTTTCCAGTCATATTTCATTTTCTTTCATTTTCGCCTATATTTCTTTTTTTTGTTTGTTTTTGTTTGTTTTGTTTTCATTTTGTTTCAACCATGATTCCATAAAATAGCAATAGGATACTTATTTTCATACAAGAATATTTTCCGTATGTTATAGGCTTTATCATAAACTTCACCATAGACTTCCGAGATACACTATCAAATTATAAATGCTTACAATTACATTCTATCATTGCAATTGCGAAAATTTCACAAATTATTACAAGCTTTGCAAACAACAATGATATGAAATGAAGCTTTAGATTACAACCTTACAAGATTACAATAAGTTCAGGAATTTCAATCGTCTTTCGACATAGGGAAAGTAAAAGGACAAAATATGGAATGATGTTTTTTAGCTTCATCATCCCTTCCATCTCTTTCGCAATAAAAACACAATGGTTTTGTTTTGCAAAAAGTAACTAAATGATTTGCGTGCTTGAGGCACCTTTTATATTTGTTTAAATCATGAATGCGGTGGTACCAGTCCTCCAGTGTTGCATACTTCTTACATTGGGTCGCGAAGTGTTCGCCATAGCACAGCATGCACGGCCCCTGACGTTGAAGTCCACTGGGTCCCGGTGATGGCGACCGCTGTTGCTTTTCCCTTTCTTTCTTCTCTTCCCTTTCCCTTTTCGCGTATGATTCCCTTTTTCCCGTGCTTTCACCGAACCTTTTCCCGTCT